GGGCGACGGGCGGCGCCACGGTTTGCGGGCCGAGGGTCGACACGCCGGTGTCGGCCTCGGTCGCCTCCTCATCCGCCGGCCGGGCCTGGCGCCGTGTGCGGGTGCTGGGCAGCTTCATCTGGCGCTTCTTGGCCCAGCGACCCGCCAGCCAGACGCCGGCAATGACGCCGAAGATGTTCAACGCGCCGAACAGCGGCGCCGCGTTGGACGACAGCAGCAAGCTTTGCAGCGGCGCGGAGTAGGCGCGCGGCTTGAGCGCGAAGCTGAAGGCCCCGAAGATCAGCCAGCCCGCCCAGGCCGCGCCCACGCCGGACATCATCCAGGCGATGTAGGGCCGGTGGCGGCGGCGCTGCGGGCGCAGCGTCAGGTAGGCCCAGATCGTCGCCACGACGAACAGGATCACCATGATGGCCAGCGCTTCGCCCAGCATCACCGGCAGGCTGTTGCGCCCGCCGAGCTGCACGTACACCTGGCGCGGCAGGCCCGTGCTGGCGTACTTCATGGCCGCGCCTGCGGCAAAGCAGTAGAGCAGGAGCCCGGAAAAGAAGGCGATGGAGCGGCGCGCGGCTTTCATGGGGGCGAATTCTGAGGGCTTGCAGCGCTTCAGGATCGGCAGGATTTCCCAATCCGGCCAAAACGAAGCCCGCAATCCGGGGGGGCCGGAAGGCGGGCTTACATCTTGAAATGACCCGGTCGAGGCCGGGTCGGCGGCATCAGCGCTTGCGGTCCAGGCGCATCGCGCGGGCCAGGCCGCGGCGTTCGCCGCTGTAGAAGCCGGTGTCGAAGGCTTCGTGCTTGCGGCCCTTGTCGACCGATTCCGCGGCGCTCCAGGCCAGGCCCATCTCGGGGGCGGGGAGGCGGCGGTGTTGCGTTTCGTTGCGGGGCTGGATCTTCATCATGGCTTGTCTTGCCTGTCTCGCGGCCCGGTGACCGGGGCGATTGGGAGGCACAACGCAGCCGATTCCGGGCCGGTTGACAAGCTGGATCACATTTCTTTGCCGGACGGGTTTGCCGACAATGCCGGCTTCTCCGAATCCAGGACCCGCGATGACCGTCCAGCTCAAGAAGACCCTCCCGGCCAAGGCCACCCCCATCACCGTCGTCGACCGCGCCGCCTTCCAGGCGATGGTCACGGGCCTGCCGGACACCACCCGCGCCTGGCTCGCCACCGTGGGCTTCGTCGGCGCCGCCGACACCCATGCCCTGGTGCCGGGCGCCGACGGCACGCTGGCCCAGGTGTTCGCGGGTGTGGCCC